TTAGAAGTAACTAGCACTTCCAGATAAGAACTTCCCATGATCTGCTAGAAAAATTCAAAATCAAGATGTAATGAAGTATTTCAGCATCAGTAAAATAGAGGAACCCAGTGAACATGTGGATAAGGTGTCTTCCCTGACTTTCTGTCCCCAAATCATTATAAGTGTTTGGGCTTTGTTTTACCCTTGGCAGAACTTTACTGTTGCCACATTTTCCTGTCTTTAGCTGTGCAAAATGCCCAGGAGTTGTGAGTGCTGTAAAGACCTCACAGCTTAGGCAGGTGCTTCTGAAGTGACCTGTGATTTTTCAAAAGCCTGTATGTATGGATCAAATTCTGATATACAACATGGCTTCCAGTTGACACCAGTTCTTTGCAATTCACTGGAGCAAGTTTAGATTTATGCCCTGGGAATGGAGAATTCATTTTGGGTCATCATTTGGAATTAGGCTTTCCAGAGCTGTCTGGACCTGAACCCAGATGTCAAACTTGTGTCCTCGCAGAGCTCCCTGGCCTATGGGCACATGTTTCCCCATCATTCTCTAAAGGGGAGACAGAGACATCAGCTACCTCCACTGCCTCGAGGCTTGGCACATTGATGACGGTGGTGGTCCCAGCTAGAGCTTTCCTGCTGGTTGCTTTCTGGGGCGGAGCGATGAAGTCAAACATCAGCATCATGAGCGGTGACTCCAGCTCCTTCTTGTCTGGACTTCAAATGTTCTGGGTTGCAGTTTAGCCTGGACAGCTGAACAAGCACCCTAAAACTTAGGCTGTCTGAGCCAAACCAAGTACCTGCAGGTCTGGAAGGGATTGGAAAGTCTGGGGTTAGTCTTCTTGTTATTGAAGTTAGTAGCAAAATTGTCTTGATTTCTGCTGGCTGCAGAATTAGATGAGTGCTAAACTCTGCTGAAAACGGTACATGTCACATGTCTGCTATCAGCTGCACACACTGGGTTTCTCTTGCATTGTATTTCATAGTGGTGAGCCTAGTCAATGTGTTTGATAAATAATCTTTACTTTTCAGTAGATGAGCTTTAGGTGAGCTACAGAGGTAAGAGTAGAGGTAGATTGGAGGTCATACCTTTCTGAATTGACAGACGTACTGAACACTGAATTTCCCTGTATTAGTGCTACTGCAAACACTGAAAGGACTAACAAGTAAGAAGCAGGTCCTTAGCAGGCATAGGACAGTGCCACAGTGGCTGTCTTGTCCTCCCTGAAAGATCTGGTCTGCATGTGGAAGTGTCACAGTGTGCAGTTCACGTGTACTCTGCTGCTATACGTGCCCCAGAGGACTGAGATGATATGTGGGGAGCAAAAAGGGATGTTACGAGTTACCGGTGTGTAGGCAGGAAACATACAGTGTTTCTTGCAGGTGATGGAAATACGCCTCTGCTGGGAAAGTGAGCCTTTTTGCAGTTGTATCCAAAATTGAAAAATCAGAGTGAGGCCTTGTCAGGAATATCCACATGCTGGACTGCCATCCTTTGCTAGCTGGCTTTCTGCAAGTACGTGGGGTCTCGCAAAGTCACGTCCTATTATTTGTCAGCTATGAATCATAATTTCTTTTAACTGACTAAATTGAGGAGCAAGGTGCAAGGAGAATGACCCTTGTTAATCAGGGCAGATGGGTTGAAGTAGTGGGTCACGTTTTATCCCTTGCCTGCGAAAATGGCTTGACAGCAATCAGCAATCTTATGGATCTTCTTCTTGTGCTCCTGAAGGGAACCATCTTCCTCTTCCTGTTGTAATTTTCGAAGTCTTTAATGCTGTCAGTCCTACAGGCACTGAGTAAGAAAGTTTAATCCCCGCCAAGTTGCCTGCAACGTAGCGACCAAAGGATAGTCAGACTTAATGTGGCACGTGGCATGTATTACAGCCATTACACAAAGCTCCCCCTCTCCTGCGCGAGTGGTTAAGAAGTTGGACATCCGACAGAACTATGACAATAGCATGACAAGAGCAGCTCGCTCCTGTCCTAGGTATCCTTGGACCACTTTCCTACCATGTTGGTAATGAAAGTAGATCTACAGGGGTTCACCAACATCTGAATCCAGCAGCTTGGGTTCGTATCTCTGTGGATAGTGGTCAATATCCTGCTGCTCCCACAAAAAATTGGTAGTTTTTGATGCGCTCACTGGCAAATGACTTTATGGGAATGGAGACCAGAGAACTCTCCTACCACTCCCTGGTGGTCCACCGGGCTGGAGCAGGGACCTTGGTGGCGTCAGCCTGACTGGTTTCTCCAGGTCAGAGCTCAAGACAAGGCCTAGTTGGTCTAAAAATTAAAAGTCTTGCCAGTGAAGAAAGCAGGCTGGTTTCAAAACCCTGCCTCACCACTCCCTGGGTGATTTGGGCCAGGAGGAGGGGAGGTCGCGTAAGGTACTTGGCAGAAGCTGGGAGGTGCATATGGGGAAAGACGCTTTGTTTCTGCCGGCAATTGTGTGCCCTGGCAAATGCAGCAGCAGGTAGGGCCCTGGCAGGGGGTAAAGGCAGGGCTGCGGCCGTCACCCCTCGCCAGGCTTTGTCTGCCATGCAGATTAGGTGGAGGGGCTTTTCTGGCTCGGCGTTGCTAGGCTCTTCCCCCCTGTTGACTTGGTGGAGAGGCTGAGGGGGGTGGGTGGGAGGGAGGGACTGCATTATATTGTTTCTTTGAGTTGTTTCCCCCCCTCTATGGGGAGATGGGCTTGATCCACTGGTTTTGGATTTCAGAGGCAGAAGGCAAGACATGGCCAGCTGGTGTCTTGAAATGGCACAGGTGCAATGGCTGCGGGAGGGGGGGAGCCAGGAATAATTACAGGTTTCTGAAGCATCAGGCTTTGCCTGAAAAGGGCTCATCGAGAAACTGCTCTTTATGGAAAATTAATGGTGAAGCTGGAAAAAACTGTCAGGCCCACTATTGTTGTCGTGGGGTAGTGATGCCTTAAAGGAGCAGCACCTCCCGCTTGCCTCCCCTCCATGGGCAGCCCGGAGCCGGCACGCAGCCTTCTGATCCTGTAGCAATTGAAATTTCATGTCACTGTCATCAGATTTAATGGCCTTGACTCCCTGTCTCTTTTGTTTTTTTTTTTTTTTTCCTTTTTGCTGCTGGAAGCCTTTTATTTATTCAGCCCCTAAATCTGTTTCTGCCCCACTGGGTGAAGGCTAAGTGGTCCAGAAATCCCAAATTATGTGATGTGGGAATGGAAAAGCATCACCTCTTTTGGTGAGAGGGGGGTTATTCCTGAAAGACTGTGGAGTACATTTGGAAAGCACCGCCCAAAACCTGTTAAGATTCATCTGGGGAGAGACCAGATGCCCAGCTAAAGCCATTCCTCACGGTCCCAGAAATGTAATTGAAAAAGAAAACGGGCAGGTTGCTTAAGGCAAGAGTGCTAACTGGTAAGTGTCCCACCTCCCCAGGCCTGAATGCAGATACATCCCATATACAGTGTCATGCCTCTGAAAATAACCTAGGCGCTAAAGTGTAGCATGCTTCTGTTGCCATTTTACTGCTTTTTGTCCATCTCTACAGCTCAGGTCTGTAATCAGCTATTATTTTAAAAAGAAACAACAGGTAACTGTCTGACAAATTCAGTTCTGAACTCTGAAAGTCAGCCCAGCAAATTGTATCTGTAACCAGCAGTGCTGCCTCCTGGGTACACTGAAAGTAATAATCTTGAGTTACCTGATAGCTCCTGGAGAGCTGTGAGTGGGGCCTCCTTACACTGCTGTCGATGGGACCTTTGTAGGCAGGAGTCTCTGTCTCTCCCCTGGTCATGCTAATCTTTTGTTTCTTGACCAGATGCCGGACTCTCCAGGTTGAGATGTAGTTAGGTTGCCAGCTCCCACAGCCGGAAAATTTTTGCCTAAAATCATTTCCTTAATACCTCTAAAAGTATTCTCTGAGGAATAGTTTTTAGACGTTTCTGAAAAGTATTAGTTAGAATGTCTGTTTCTCCAAGTCCTGTAAAATCACAGTGGTGGTGGTAAACCAGCTAGCCTTTCAGGGAGTGAGAAATGAAAAATAGCACTAATAAACTCCATTAAAAGCTCCTGAAACTACAGCAAATGGCTTTCTATAAACAATAAAAGTTTATAATGTTGGTTATGGAGAACACTGGGCAGCGTGATGGTGCCTGGAGGCTTTATTGGGGCTAGCTCAGGGCACCTCATACAAGGTACATTCAAGTAGGAGTCTCACCCCGTCCTTGTGCTGATGATCACTGCTGTGGAGATGCAGGAAGACGTTTTTATGTGGCAGCCTCTCTGACGCATCGTCACCTACTTTTTAATGAGGTTCATGTGTGTGTGTGTTTGTGTGCAAGTCTGGTGTCCTGCACACAGGAAGCCCTGTTTGACCAGATGTGCCAAAACCCCTCTAAAACTGGCAGTAGGCCCCTTTTTTCTGTCACAGCTTTCCTTCTCTCAGGCCCTTTAAACAAGCTGTGGTGTCACTGGAAGTTTTTCCCTGTCTCCTATCTTAAAATGCTATGCTTCAGAGTTGTGCTGGTTTAGGAACAGATTGGGCCCCAGCCAACTATGCTGTGTTAAATTTGGAGTGGAAGTTAATGTTCCTTCGTGAAGGAAGAGGAGGCAGTTATTTGGAGAGGTGATTTTTTGTTTGTACGGGGCCAGGTGATGGGGCCATTAGGATAGTTTAATATGGAGGTGACCGTTGGCCAGATTACACTTGAAATTGGGAAGAGCCTGGTATCTATATGACAAGGTACAGACTCATGAAAATGCGGTGGATGCTTTCTGGTTGTCGTATCTTCACTTCTAGCATGATATCCGCTACCACATGCAGATATTCCCACACTCTGTCTCAGAGCAACTTCAAACAAATGCTGAATCCTCATGTCTCCCAAAATGTGACCATCTCGCGAGAAGGTGCTGGTGTGCATGAATGCTGACTCTGAATGGCGCTGGACCACATTGTTCTCCTGCCCTAGGTAGGAGCTACACTCTGATCTCTCTCTAACAGTGGTCTCTCTCCCTCCCCTCTCCCTTCCCCTCCTGCAGACATGCCTGGAGTTGGAGCGATACCTTCAGACTGAACCACGGAAGATCTCAGAGACCTTTGGCGAGGATTTGGACTGTTTCCTTCATGCCTCCTCAGCCCCAGATGCAGAGGACAATATCCGGCGGCTGGACCCCATCCTTTTACCAGTGGAGACGAGTACGTGTGACAAAAGCACCAACATGGACATTATCCTCTCACGGGACAAGCTGCTGTCTGAGACGTGCCTCAGCTTGCAGTCCACCAGCTCTTCCACAGAAGGCTACACAGCCGTCAACCAGGCCCAACTCAATGCAGTAACCTCATTAACACCCCCTTCCTCTCCGGAGCTCAGCCGCCACCTTGTAAAAACCTCACAGACTCTCTCAGCGGTGGATGGCACGGTGACGTTGAAATTGGTAGCCAAGAAAACTTCACTCAGCTCCGTGAAAGTGGGTGTAGCAACAGCGACCGCGGGGACGATAAAAAGCGGGCAAAGTGACAGTGAACAAGGAGGTACAGGGGCAGAAGCATCCCCAGAAAACAAGAAGAGGGTTCATCGCTGTCAATTTAATGGGTGCCGGAAGGTTTATACAAAGAGCTCCCACTTAAAGGCTCACCAGAGGACTCATACAGGTACTTGTGTAGGATGCTTCTCTCATCTTGTCCTCCTGCCACCTAACCGTAACCATCTCCTTTTATTCTCATTTAGAAAAGAAAAAAAAACCTCTTCTGAAAGTCCAAGCTTCTATCTATGAAACAGGGCAGTGGAAAAATATGGCAGGCCAGCAGATGTACCCATTAATCAATAGAACAGAGGAGTTCAATGTCTACCATTCACTTGTTGGGGTTTCATATGTCTTATGCGGCTTGATGCAGAGTACTTTTAGGATACCTAAGGGATGCAGATGGATCATTCATGTTAAAACTGTGGGCATGCCAGTTTGGGTTTTCAGCACTCACTTCCCCAAGACAACTTTAAAAAGGTTAATTTTAGTCAAGTGTTAATTGCTTCAAATAGAAAATAGCGTGGGTAGGTTTTGTTGCCTTTTGTATGGGGGAAAGAGAGAAATATATTTCAGATCTGAGATACGTGGTTTAGGAAAAATGTATGCATGAGAAAGCATGTGTGTAGATGTAGACATGTAGGTACGCAGATGCACGTACCCTTGAGACGCTCACCATCTTGGACTTCTCTGATGATAAAATACAGTGAGAACAAATGAAAGAACGACATTAAGTTTGAATGGAATAGTGTAGGTAGAGAGGGAATAGGATGTATAGAAAGATGTCAGGCTATTATTTTGGGCAATACTTACTAAAGTTGCATATAAGCTCCACTGTGTAAGCTTCTTGCAGCATACTGAATTGACATAGGTTTGGCTGTTCAGGATCCCTGCTCTCCTGTCATTTGTTCATAGTCCCCAGCAGCTTTTCGACTGGTATTCGTTGGCAGTAATCGCTGTGCAGTTCGCACGCGTTGCTGCTTTGTTCTAAGCTTCACATGTGATGAGGGATGATAAATTCCCATTAGCACTGTCTTATCATGTGATTATTCTTGTTTCCAGAGGGATTGCTGTAATCAGTTTTCTCAATTTTACTGTAAAATGTGTGGTCTCTTACGATAACTGCACATTTAATTCACGATCTTATCATGCAGGCGGATTCCTAGAAGCGAGGTTGTTCTTGCAAGGTAGAAAATAACATGTTGGACCAGCGCAGTAAATCAAACAAATGTGTGCGTTGTTAAGAGAGCTGCATCGATCAAATACTAGGCAGCCCCGTAAAAGTTACATGGTCTGAAGTATAAATCATGTTAAGACATTAAAGGCATTGGTTTTGATCTTTTTATATGGGCTTTCTAGTGCTTTTACTGGGGATAGCCACCTTGCCAGGAGTGACCTCACTTGTGATCCAGTGATTTGAAAGCCAGTGAAAGTAGTGCAGTCATTTTAAAATCTGCAGCAGCATGGTCAGGAGGCTCCTCGTAGCACCAGCGCTGCTGTGAGGCTGGACCCCGCCGAGGCTGTCCAGGTGCATGTCCCAACCAAGGGCTTCCAGCAGGCAACGGGGCTCCTGTGAAGGCACAAATGCAGAGCGTGAGAGCTGTTGTCACAGTGGTCTTGTCTGTTCAGATGTGACCCCTGTGTTCCTCCTCGAGCTGGAAGTGATGGGTCTTACACAGCTCTTCCTGAAGTTAGTCAGGGATGTGACGTGATCACCTAGAAAGGGTAAACTTGTGGAGTTTTTCTGGTTTTGTCACCCAGTAGGTGGGGATGTGGACATGGAGTCCTGAGAGAGTGCTTGCAAAAACCACTGCTCTTTCAACACCTCCACCCTTGAAAGATTTTGCCTGCTTTTGAATCCAGCCCTAGGTCTGGTTGACTTTCTGTATCTGAGGTCAAAATCTTTCCCCTTGGTAACATCAGCATCTTACATTTTACAATTAATCCATGACGAGAAACATTTCTCACTGGCCCTGCAACATTTCTGTTGAATAGCCTTAGGCTGTACATAGTGCCATTGACGTGTATGTATCTGCCCATTCACAGCAGTGCTCAACATGGTGAGAAAGGCAAGTCCACCTTTGCTGGCAGATGGAGAAGACCTCTATCAGATGATGAGACCGCAGCAGCCCGGGTGCAGTGCCCACAACTCCTGCTGCCAGCACCTAACCCAGTGGGTTCAGCTACCCCTCTGATCTTGCCAGTTAAACCATCAGTGGTTTAACCAGCCCCTAAACCATTCACTAGTTTATGGGAGTGTTCTTATTTCCATCCACCAAGTCCTAAGCAGATAGCGTAGGTTGTTAGGAAAGCAGGAAGGCAAAAGACAAGAGGGAATACAAACCTGGATGAGGAGCTCTCCTGTCCTTGCAGCCATGCAACCAACGTGTAGCTGACCACCTCCTAGCCGTGCATACCTGTGTAGAAAGCATGATTTCATTTTGCGATGAAGCCTGGATGCAGCCTTGTTATTAAATTACATCTTTGATGCCGAACCTGGGAGCAGGTAGGCACCTGGCTCCTGTTTTTCTGTGTGGAATGCAGATTGTCTAAATACCTTTGAACATTTACATCTTGGGAGCAATCTGAGTGAATCGAGGGGAAGGGTGCGATAGGCTTATCTAACCAGCTTATTTGGGTCCAAAGAAGAAAAT